TCAAGGCTGAATGTTGTGTGAATTGTGATTACTGTTGGTGGATATTTATAGGTATGGGTAAGCAGGTGGTGGTATCTAGCTCGTGGGAGGCGTTAATTGGTGGAATGTTGTATTGTGGCTTGGGGGTTTTTTGCCCAGAAGCAGCAGTGTGCGTGCTGTTCCTGTCGATTGTTTGTTGATCATGGGAGTTTGCTGTAGGATTTTTATTGCTTCGTGAATTTGAAGAGTTGTGAAGTCGTTAAATCAGCGGTTTACTTTGGTGTTTTGTGCTAGGTCCTGACGTGTGAGTTTTTGGACCTAGTACAAAACACCAAAGTAAACCGCCGATTTTTTTTCACCAGAAATGTTCCCCACAGGCTCGTGAGGGGCATGTTAAAATTTTCTATATTAACATACTTTTATTTGTAAAGTTTTTATTTTGCTCCACTAAAGACTTTTGTCATTCAAGTTATAATAGTATTAATGTAATATTAACATTCAAACAATTATATTATCAGTAAATTAATGTGGCATCTAAGCTGTGATAATATAATGTATCACATAGATGGTGTCAGCCAAGATGTGATTATGTTAATATGATAGTCAGTAAGGGATTTGGTTCAAAAGTTTGTTGGAACATTAGGAGCAATATGTTATGTGGGTTTGGTAATGTCAGTCAAGGTGTGATAATACTGATGTTTTAGCACATCACTTAATCTGTCATAGTGTATATAATGTTTCAAACAACTTGTTATAATACTAACTAAGGATCAACCACTCTTGAAGGTTATCACTCATCATTCGAGTATCATGATTATAGTTCAGGTGAACTAATAATTGTTATGACTGTATAATATTGCATTATTATATGTACTAAGAATTACTTACAAAAACAAACTGTTAAACTGATATACGGGTATAATAGCATTAGTCATGATTTTTTTTCAACAAAAATTGTTTAATGTAAAGTTTAACATAAGTGTGTCTCAACAGTTAATTTTCTGAACATGGAACCCTCCCCACTCAAAGAATATCTTTCCAATTATATTAAAAAGTCTGCCTGGTATGGTATGTTAGAAACCTAAATTGTAATGTAATATTAGTTCTAGGATACCATTCAAATAAATTTCAAATAGTTGATTAATTATTTTATCTGTAGTCATGAAAACTTCAAGTTTTTCCCATAATGAGTATTTGTTTTTTGTTCAACACCACACCTTATCTACATCAGATAGATAGTGAAACCCTAATTCATAATCTAATGTTAAACACTGAATTATACAACCACTTTTAGTAGTATAAAATAAGACAGCATAAATCGGTCTATAAAGAAACTGAGCAAACTAAATAAACATGAAGTTCGAGACAATATATATATATATATATTTCAAGATGAATATTTACATCATATAACTGGTACTGTGATAATTTTCTTATGTGTAAACTGCTTATAGTTAACATTTCTAGCCAATTTTTGGATGCACGTTTTGTTGGATTTTCCAGTTTGGTTT